TAATACGGCTCGTTGTTTACTAAAACTTTTCAAGTTAATATTTTAAATCTCTCCTTTAATGGAGGAAAAAAGAAGACTTTTCAAAAATTCTTGTAAAATTACATTTTTTCTTTCAAACTTCTTGACTATTTCCATTTTGCTTTATTAATATTCAATTGATTTAAATTTTATTAATTAATGTCATCCGTTGATTTGACTAAATCAACGGTGTAAGATGTGATGTAATTATCTTGTATTTACACTAAGTGTCAATTGATTCTTCATCCATTAAATTTCTCTTTTAATTGAGGAAAAAGAAGACTTTTCAAAATTCTTGTAAAATTACATTTTTTCTTTCAAACTTCTTGACTATTTCTGTTTTGCCCTATTAATATTCAATTGATTTAAATTGTTCTTAAAATGTGGAATTTTGCAATTGACCTGCTATGTTATTGATACTAATTAAAAAGCTCCAAACAGATCGCCCTTCAGGCCCATCCCTGTAGCCTTTGGGCTTTCAAAATTTACTCTAATTTAAATCACCTTATCTGTAATATTTCAAATGATGTATAATACTTTTAAAAATAACTATATATTTTTTATCAATAATTATTTTAAAATATTCCCAACAATAAAAGTCTTTTTTTAAAGAGAGAGCACAATGCTAATTAATATATCTACCAATTTTTTATTTACCTAAAAATATTTATTTATTTATTCTTTAGAAATTTATTATTTCTTTTTGACAATTAATAACAAAAAAAGTTGATTTGTTTCATCTTGGTAAGCATAAGAGCATTTTAGTAAAAGCATTCACAAAAGACTTCGTTGTACAAAAATTATTCCGGGAACTTTTACCTTTTAAGAAAAAAGTCAAAAAAAATTTGATGCTAAACACTTTTATGTGTGTGTGTGAGTGTCTGATCGGAAAAATAGAGGGATATTACTTTGAAAAAAAAAGTAAAAAAAAATTGCAGTTTTTTCTTTTAAAAAAGAAAGTTACCAAACTTCTCGGAAGCTGAATTTTGGATGTTCATTCCCTGTAAATTCCATTAGCTCTTTCACCTTCTTTTATGTCATATCAAATTTTGGGTAACCAAACTTCTTGGAAGCGGAATTTTGGGTGTTCATTCCCTGTAAATTCCATCACCTCTTTCACCTTCTTTCAGGTCATATCAAATTCTGGGTAACCAAACTTTTTGGAAGCTAAATATTTTTATGTTCATTCCCTATAAATTCCATTTCCTCTTTCACTTTCTTTTAGGTCATGTCAAATTCATCAGAATCCATTACCTCTTTCAGCTTCTTTCAAGTCATATCAAATTCGTCAGAATCCACAACGAAAAACAAGTGTCCTCTCTAACTTTGAATATGACATTCGGCATGGTTCTTCCTCATTTCACTTTCAATAATTTTAGACATGACCTAAAAAAAAAAAGTTTTAAGTTTTGTTACCCTGATCTGTTATTTCAAGAAAAAAGCACTATCTATTTTTGTATTATATTAAAAAAAATTACTCTCACTTATATTATCTAATCATATATATATATATATAAAAGATCAAATTAATAATATAAGTGAAAAAATACTTATACTAAATTTTACATTATTAATTCAGTTAAAAATAATTTATATAGATAATTATAAATTAATTTAGTGAGAAATAACTGTGATTAATTTTTATTTATTAAATTTGATTAAATCAAGATGTAAAATTTGGTATAAGCGTTTTAGATATTTTCCATTCCAAAGCAAATAGTTGTAGACGATTGGCCAAACTCGTGCATAGCAACAACCACGCCATGATTTGGGTTAAGCCATGCAAAAGACCATGACCATCTTCTTTTCTTTTAGTCTTTGTCAAACCAGGCCCCTCTTCTTTAACATAGAAAAGGAAGGAAACAAAATCAGGCAAATTGCACTGCAATCCTGAAATCCATATAATTTTGATTATAAATGTTTCTTTAAATTATTTAGTAATAATCTTTTAAATCAACTAATGGAAAGAGAATTCTTGAAAATGACCTACGGTGTAGCATGAGTTTCAGTAGCTGCCCACACTTTTAAGGGAAATGAGTGTCATATTGGCTGAATTTCGTATTGTTTGTTTTGATTGTGTTTTCTTTTTTATAGGGGTTAAATTTATTAACCCTACACTATTACAAAATTATCACTTAAATCCCTAAATAAAAAAAAAACCACTTACTCTTATGAGTTTTAGCAACTACTATCTTGATCATTTAAATTTTATTGACATCAATGAATTACGGAAATGTAAAATTTTTTGGATGAAAATACTCATATCCTTTTTATATTAACCTCTCTCGAACTATCACTCACTTATCAATTGAGCCTCCTAGTTTTAACAGCTCATGTTAATTTTACTAGTCAAAATTAATAAGATATGTAATTTACTTAAATACTTTAACCTTGGTGTTAGGTTCTAATGACACAATAACTTGTTGGTGATGGTCGCCAGTGGGCAGTGACCCCTTTGAAGAAAGATGAGTCGATAAATTGAGAGATGCACAAAAGGATGAGGGGAAAGAGAAAGGAATGGGCCAAGAATACAAGGGAAAGGGAGGGTCCAATAGAGTAAGTTGGGCAAGCTCAACGGCAGGAAATATGTATTTTATAATTTATATATTTTTATTATTATATATATGTATATAAAAAAATATAACATATACAATATAAAATATATATTTATATAAATATACATTGTAATATATTTAAATAGGAGAAAATCCTACATGGCCTTTTTAAAAAAAAAAATTGACCTAAAAAAAAGTTCTGTAACTCATCTTTCTCACATGAAAACCCCAAACCCTCTTCATCCATAGCCGTTGCTTGCTGCTTTCCTCTATAGCCACTACTGGCTCTTTTCGTCCATAACCAATGCTAGCCACCACTCCTCGACCATTTCAAATTCCTCTGTCTAATCCTTCTGCTACCGCTTAGTCTGCCTAGATTTCTTAACTCAAATAGTAAAGCATCTTTTATTTATGAATTTGTTGACCTTTTTGTTCTTCTTTTTCCCTTTTTGAGGTTGAACAAAACCACACCTTTGCTCTTCAGTATTAAATATTTCATTAACTAGGCATATCTAGTAAAAGAATATTATACCCATATATTCCCGTTGACAACCCTAATCTACTTTTGCTGATTTGTCATTGTGTTAGGTTGAACAATATTAATACTATATTATTGCTCCCAAAATCAATCCATTCATCTTTGCCATATTTCCTTATAATAAGCTATTGTACATCAATTTTTTAGAATAATATAATACAATATACAAAAAAGTGAAAACTAGTACTGAATAAGTTAAGCTTAAGTATCTTTGGCTAATAGTTTAAACTTAACAAATTATTAGGTTTAGTAACTTTTGGATTATTATCAATGATATCAGAATAAAACGATTTTTGAACCTATTCTGTTTAGATACGAATACAAATTTATAACTTAAAGAGGACATCAAGTGTTTAAGTGGGAGAAATTGTGATCTCCTATCTCATATTAATTTTTGAAAGTAATATAATACAATATATAAAAAACTAAAGATTACTATTGAACAATTTGGGTTAAAGTATTTTGACTTAGTGGTTTAAACTTAATAAATTGTTAAATTTTGTAACTCTCGTATCGTTACATTCTTTCTTTCTTTCTTCCTTTTTTTTTAGGGGGGGATAAGGAACAGAAGCTATATCCATGTTAAAGTACCTAATTCTTTCTTACTTCTTTTCTTCGGAGCCTATCATCTAGTGCATATCTACTCAACCAGTTCTATGCCAGGTAATATCTTAAACAATGGTGGAGGAAGGAATCTCCTTTCAAACTTTGTACTAAAAACTTTTTGCAGCACATCCTTTTCTTTTTTAAGCAAAGATTGCAGTGCTTGGAGACTTTATTATAGAAATTTGTTGTCATTATGGGGACTTCAATTGTCTCTGTCATTACTTTATTAGCTAGTAAATATTCCTCTTACGTTCTAAATATGCCAAACTCTTGAATCATTGGGAATATTACAATAAAAATAAATTAAACTATTATCATAATAACATTTACACTAAAGTATAAAAAGTAATAGTTTAATCCCTAAAATTTGTATTCATAGTTAAAAATAACTAATTGAGTTAATATACTTGTTTAAATTACCAAAACACCCCTAAGTCTACACTGTACATTCTGTCCATAATTCATTAAATATTTTAATAAAATAACAACCTTTCTTGTAATCAAAAGAAACTATAATTAATTAAAAACTATCCATCAAACAATATATAAAGTTTTCATAATAAAGAATGATACTTTTATTAAATTAACTCCTTAGCTTGCATTGTTCATTGTTTATAATTTAATAAATATTGTTTGCATAAAAATAATTTTTATTATAACTAAAAATTAATTAATTTAAAAATATTTTTCTCAATCAATCTGAAAAATAACAACTTTTATTGTAATTAAAAAATTATAATTAATTAAAAACCTATCCATCAATGATTGGTGCATAAGAAAAGACGTGAACATGAATAAAGGATATTATAATAAATTAAGAATGAAATTAAGAAATATTATAATTAATTAAATGAGTATATTAATACTATTAACTTTTTAAAATTGTGAATACAAATTTAAGGAATAAATTGTTATATTTCATACTTTATAAAAGTAAATGTTATTACCATGATAGTTAGAGGGTAAATTGAATTCTACACAAGATAAAATAGATTACATATATGACAACCACGCATAACATTTCTCGTGCATGCTAATACGCCAAAAAGCCGTCACATCCTTCCCTTACTAGGCAGGTCTAGTGGGCAGAGATTAGTATCCAGGGATAGAGATTGTTATTAGACAAAGATTTCTGAGCTAATTAATGAGTTTGTTCATGGTTTCCCGTTCACATCCCAGAGCTCAAACAAATATCTTTTCCTTTATTTTAGCATGGTTGAAAGCTGTTCCAAAAAGGACTTTTGTGCGGCCAAACACAGTTTTTTAAACTTAATTACACATAAATGTCAGGTAAAGATATATATAAAGAAAGGGGGATATATATCAAGCCACGGGAAACATGGACGCCGGGCTTCTCTTGAAAAGGTAACTTCTGGCTCAGAAGTAACTTGTAGGAAGGCCAAGAACGGTGCAAAAATGGAGAGCTCGTTTGGATCTCTGATGATGGCAATGAAAAGCAACAAGTACTACATTGGTAGTCTCTTAATCCAGGCTACTTATGCAGGCATGGCTTTGCTCTCCAAGGCAGCAATCTCCCGAGGGATGAACCCCTATATCTTTGTCTTCTATCGGCAAGCTTTCGCCACTCTTGCCCTGCTTCCATTTGCTTTAATCCTTGAAAGGTTAGTTCACCCAAAAAATTCAGAATTAACTTTTTCTTGTGCTAGCTCCTTCACAGTTAACTTTTATATTTATTTATTTATTTATTTTTTACTGTTGGTGAATATGCAGGAAGAACTCTGCTTATCTTTCTTTCAAGTTCCTCTGCACGAACTTCTTTGTCTCCGTATCCGGGTTGGTACCTGGTCCCATAAGTTCATCTATTCTAACACCAGCTTTGGTGATAGTTATTATATTGTTTGCATAATTACAGGATTACTCTGTCCTCAAATCTCTATTGTGTAGCCATAAATTACACATCCGCAACATTAGCAGCAGCCAGCACCAATACAATTCCTGCCGTTACTTTCATCATGGCTCTTTTGTTCAGGTAATTTTTTTTTTTTAAAAAAAAAACAAAGAAATAAAAAGTGGGATAGTCGATGGATTCAACAAGTAAATAAAACTAACTTAAGAAATTTGTTTTGGAAAACGTCAATTAATTTTAGGATGGAAAGTATTTCAACGAAGGAAAGGCATGGATTGGCCAAGGTTTTGGGATCTGTAGTGGGTCTATGCGGGGCTTTGGTGTTTATTTTTGTGAAGGGTCCTCCTATATTTGCTGGTAACCAAACAGACGTATCAGAAGAATCTGCTAAGAGTAGAAGCACATGGGATTGGATAAAAGGCTCTCTCATCATGCTCACCTCCATCACAGCGTGGTCTTTGTATCTCATCCTGCAGGTTTATCTCTCTCTCTCTCTCCGAGGAAAGATGAGAGTTTTTTTTTTTTTTTTCTTTCAATATTTCCTTAGTTTTCTTTTCTTTTTCCTTTTTTTTAATTTTTTCTTTTAAGGGTCCACTGGTGAAGCAATGCCCAGCAAAAATTAGACTGACAACTCTGCAATGCTTGATGAGCTGCATTCAATCAGCAGTTTGGGCAGTTGCAATGGAGAGGAAGGCATCATCATGGAAGCTTGGATGGGATGTCAATCTTCTTTCCGTGGCATATTGTGTAAGTTTTTTTCTATTCTTTGTTCAATCACATTTTATGGGCCCTCATATTTTCTTTTTCTTTTTCTTTTTCTTTTGGTCGTTTCTCAGCTGGTATCATACTTGCAAGCAGAGCTCTTAACTCATTAAAGTGGTGTTTACAAGAATTTTTTAAAAATAATTTTTAGCTTATCAATACATACAATCACTTTTAAAATATTTGAAAATCTATTTTTATATTCTATTTCTTTTCATTTAAATAAAAAAATAAGAATTAAAAATAGATGCTAGAAATATGGAAAAGAGGTCATTCTAGTTGTGATAATATTATTGTAATTAGGTGTAAGTTGTTTTAGACATTTTTTTCTAAATTTTTTTCTTAAATCCATTTTTTTAAATTTTTTTTAAATTTTTTTCTTCTTCATAAGCAAATTACAAAAATTACATTTTAAACACCAATTTTTCTACTTTCGAAAACTTGTACATATTTTACAATTGCACTTAACTTTTATTATAATCCACTTTTGCCCACTTTTACTTTAAACTCCAATTTCTAATTTTTTAGAAATATTTACAAACACCACCTAAGTCACGGAGTAATTATTGTGTGGTGCTTCTTTATTTTTGTTTCATGAGAGAAATTAGTTTCTCATTTTACTAAAAATTCAGAAAAGTTAGAAAAAAGGAAATTTATTTTACAAAATTTTCATGGTAAAAAATTGATTTTCCACAACCTAAATACTACAAAAATAGCTTTTATGACATTATAAAAAATATAAACTCTAAAAGAAAAAGAATACCCAAGACGGCATGAAGTGGTCTATCCATGTCCAACAATTTTGAATTTAAGTTAATAGTTTGGGCATAAATGGCAGGGCATAATTGTCAGTGCAGTTGCTTATTGTTTGAGAGTTTGGGTAATAGAGGCAAAAGGGCCTGTTTTCGCAGCCACCTTCACTCCATTCTCCCTGATAATGACTGCCACCTGCTCTGCAATTCTGTGGAAGGAAACCCTCCATTGGGGAAGGTCCATTCCATTCCCTTTACCTACTGCTTGTTGATTTACTATACACGTCTTGACAAGAATTGAAAAGACTTTGTTTGGTTTTTGGGATTTTGTGGGGAGGCAGTGCTTGTGGAGCTTTACTGCTGGTGGGAGGCCTTTATGGTGTTTTGTGGGGGAAGCACAGAGAAGCCAAAGCACACCAAATTCAGGTAAAATCAGAAGAACCCAGAGTTGAAACCACATAGAAATGCATTACTGGAGAGGATCCGAACCAAAATAGGGTCATTGGGATGGACTGAAGGCGTTGGAAGTGGATTGTTTTTAAGAAGGTTTATACTTTTCTTGTTTATTTTATTAGAGAGTATTTTCAAATTGGGAAATGGTTGTGTTTGCTGAACAATATACAACCGTGTTTTTCTGAAGTCATTGTTAATTTGATAAACGCAAATTTTAAAAAATATATATTTAAATAAAATAGATTTTGTTGTTTAAATAAACAAAAAGATGAAAATTATTTGTTTCCATGGGCGTGACTTATGTTTGTTGTCTCGCCGCCTTTTCTCGATAGGTTTTTTTTAAAAAATAATATAATAAATAATAATAATTTAATTTTATTATAATTATAAATAAATAATTAAAATATACTCTATTTATTCTACTTTTCCTATATTTAATTAATTTAAACTTACTTTTTTAAATTTTATTTCTTTTTATCAATCTAGACCTTGCAGATGCAGTCAAGATAAATGAATAAAGAACAAAGAATTGATTTGGGATACTTAATAAAATTATATGTTTTCATTTATTTGTTTTTCATTAATAAAATTATGAATTATCAAGTTTTTTTAAAGAAGGATAAAGTTATTTGGAAAGATTTCTAGAAGTGCATGTTTTTTAAGCATGAAAATACTTTCGGATATTTGTTTTAAACAATTAGGGAACAATCCTTCTATTAAAGATAATATATAATGTCACTCTAAAGTGACTTAAATAATTCCATCACCTAAGATAAGATCAAAATCTTTTAAAATTATCATATTGTCCTTTTATATTTGTAAAAATTACATGTTATGCCGTTTATTCAAAAACAGATATAATCTTAGTAGTGCTGAAAAATAAGAATAAGATAATGGAGAATTAAGTTCGAATTCATGAAAATGTACTGTTGGAGAGGGGTAGACACGATATATGAACAAAATTAATGTCACACTGTAAAACGAATAAAAATTCTTGTAAGAACCTAAGAAAATAAGAATAACGTATTAAAAAGAAGATAATCTTTTTATTATATTGATAAAAAATGGAAAATAACTTTTTTCCTGAAACCAGGGTTTCTAACATTAAAAATTTATAAACAAGCTTCCATATAATTTTGGCTTGATGGGTACTATTAACATGCGTGGACCTTCCGATCTTAAAATGGCCACACGGGGGAGCATCTATCCACCGGATAATAATTTATACTTTAAATTAATTTTTGGGCATAAAGAGAGTTTATCTCATAGGTATTATTGGTCCATTTCCTTGTCAATGGTGGGTTTATGAACATGTTATTTGTCAATTTTTTATTAAAATAAAATATTATTAAAAAGAAGGTGTCTAAAAAAGTGAAGCGTCTGATAATAACTTGTTGCTTTTGGTATTAATTTCATTGGCTCTTTGCCTATTTTCAGCTTCTTTTAGGTTAAATCAAGCAAAGCCAAACTTTTTATCTAAAACAGGAAAGGGAAAATGACCGCACCGGTTGGCCTGGCTTGAAAATGGACATTTAAGGCCAAATATCAAATTATATTCAGTTCAAGTAAAAGGTTTAAAAATTATCCCACAGTTGTTGTCTTGCTCCCGCCACTCCACCACCACTACATCCTTCTCCTTTTTCTTTAAAAAAATAAGGGGGCATTTGGTTTGCGAAAATGTTTCCATTTTCTGTTTTCATTTTCAAGAAAAATTGAAAACAGAGGTGAAAACATGTTTGTGCCTTGTTTTTGTTTTCATATTTAGAAAATATTTTCTAAATTTGTATAGAAAAAAAAATGATAAAAAATTATTTTCTGTGTTTTCAACCAAAACTGAAAACGCGGTGGCATTTTTGTAAAAAAACTCAATTTCTAGTATTTATCTCGTAACACTTATGTCAATGCTACTGTTCCATGCCATGCTCGTCGCAAATACAGTCGACCTATTTGGTTTGTTCATAGTTTGTTTGCCAGCGTGCCAAGTAGGTGGGGAGAGGCCATGCTCAACAGAGTCGACGTCGAGCTCTGTAGAGCTCGGTTGAGCTTTGTTGAGCTCTGTGAATAGAGCTCGACATCGAGCTCTGTAGAGTTCGGTTGAGCTCCATCTAGCTCCGTTGATTGAGCGATATTTTCGTCCATATTTTATATTCTTCCGTCGATCGTGCTCTATCGGTTGAACTCCATCGAACCACATCAAATTTTTATATTTTTTCTTCTTCAAATTTTTGAAATTTCAGCATTTGATATATCAATCAATAAAATTAATTTAAGATTTTTGTTTTTCAAAGAACAAGAAAAGATTGGGGACTAAAATTTTTAAAAAATTTGGAGAATGAAATAGATTTGAAGTTAAGTTGTGATCGAGTCTTATCAAGAAAGAAGAAACAAAAGCAACAGCAAAGGAACATCTGGAGAAAGGCGGTGATCATGGGCGAGTAGCAAGAGAAGGGTAGCCATAGAAGGGTAGCAACTTTCTATGTCTTCTATTTCTACGAGTCACAAAAGCAAAAGACGCAATCGAACAGAGCACCAAAATCACAATTGCATAAGAGGAACCTATTGACAAACAGAACGAAAGACCCTATGAAAGCCCTATGTCGTAATTTCAACTGAGTCAGTCAATTTCGATTGCAATCATAATCACATACGAAAGAGAGAAAGGTGAATAAAGAGTAAAATCTCTATACAAATCGCAATTGCAACTGAATCTTTAAAAACTAATATCATTTCCACACTGAAATTGAGAATGAGTTTACTTGGTCCTTAGAATTTTAATTCCTGTTGATCTATATTAGATTTTTACTTGGGCCTGCTTTATAATTTAAAATTAAACAAAACAGATTTTACTTATTATTAAATATTGAATATGATTAATTACATATAACTTAAAACTTTTATATTTTAAAAAATTCAATACTTAGCTACTTCATAACTAAATGTTTCGTATTAAAAAAATAAGGACACTGAGTCAATATTAAATTTATTTAATATATGTAAATTCTTAAAAAACTTTTATTGATTATTTTATTTTGATACAGGATTTAAAATATAATATAAAGTAACAAAATTAAGGTATTTGGGTTCGCTTTTAAGAATGCAAAGAGGCGTTTCAAATAATAAGTGAGTGCTCATAGTAAGTGGATGGCATAGTATGCTATATTATCTGCGTTCTCTTTCATGTTTATTATTTATTTATTTAATTTTTTTAGAATTAATTAGTTGTGGGCCCTGACATTATTTGACGTGTAACTACTTTCATTATTTTTCTAAACGAGATAAGAGAAGTTATGCTGTTCAAACCTCTATGATTGGTTTCTGTTCTGTGTTACTAAATTCCTTGATGCTTTCAAAAATCAACTGTTTTCAAAAGCTTTGTTATTTTAATACTATTTCAATTTCAGAAAAGAAAAATGATATTTTGTTTCTGAAAATACAGCTGCTTTTAGAAAATTATTTAGTGAATTAAGTGCTAGGGAAAAACTCAAAGCTGATCAGTACCATCATTGGAAACCCTTTTAGTTTTTTTATATTTTTTCTTAAAATGGGAGACCAAAGTCTGAAGAGAAGAGAAGTTACACTAGAAGGTCTTGAAGAGATTAGATTCCTGTAATGTTATAGTGCTACATATCTCTTAGTTGATCAAGAGAGAAACTCAATCTTTCAGACTTAATTCATAAATGAGAGTGATGTTGACTAGCAAGCATACACAAATGTTACCTTATCTTCCAAAATCCTTGCAATTTGGTTATATACTTTTGTTGTATTGCTACAAGAGTTAACATACACAATTATGGAAAAAGATCATTTTTGTTATTTTTTTAAACAAATTACCATTTTTTTAAATTAAAGAAAAAAATACAAAAGCAGTAACAACACCCTTTGAATGATCTCAAACTTTGTGAAAGCACAAAATTAATTACTATAATCCTGATCACCAAATCCTGGCTCTTTGCCTACTTCTTTTATTTTTTCTTCTTCTTTTTCTTCTTTTTGGGTCCGGAAACGGGTGGTCCTTACTCTAGTTATGGAATTTGATTCTTTCTATTTTCTTTTAGTTGAAATATCCTACTTCAATAATTCTATGCCACTGACTATCTTAAACTTTAACAATGGTAAAAATTAATATAATGTGTTCAAAAGTATAATTTATATATATTTCAGTAAATTTTCAAATAGATAATTTGGTGTTTAGCTCCTAAGTTGTTGCAGAACTTTTTTTGATGGGATTAAAGGAACATCCACTCTCCCTCATCCAATGTATATACTAATATGGCTAAAATTTCTCAATTAAATTAATTAAGACACTACTGATACAAAAAGGTTATGAGTCCTTTTTTATTTGTTATTTGAAACATGACAGTGTTTTTTGGAATTTGTTATCTATTTCAGTTTACCAACTTCAATTCTAAATCTATCGCTGGACCTTGTTCTGCTGT